TGGATATCAGCATCATTGTTACTGACAAACAACACTGTGAGACAGCTGGATATCTGCATCATTGTTACTGACAAACAACACTGAGACAGATGAATGTCAGCATCATTGTTACTGACAAACAACACTGTGAGACAGCTGGATATCAGCATCATTGTTACTGTCAAACAACACTGTGAGACAGCTGGATATCAGCATCATTGTTACTCACAAAAAACACTATGAGACAGCCGGATCTAAGTTTCAGTGTTTTTCAAAAACAACAACGTGGGACCGCTAGATATCAGCTTCATTGTTATTATCAAAGTTCGAGTAGCTGGTTGTTTCTACATATTACATATTAGTTACTAAATCGTTTCTCGCTTTTTAAAGCTTTAACCCAAAAAATTCAAGAAATTCAAACCCAGTTATGAATCGATGTACATATTCTAGTTGTTTTATACTTATAGACATGTTAATGAAATGGGGGAAAAAAATCAAACTTAATTAGAAAGAATTATACACGACGAGACTTTAAAAATCGTCACAGAACTTGTACGAGCGCCGTCCAACTGGAATCGTCTTCTTCACGAGCAGTAACGATGTGATAATACAAACCCAATTAAATAGAAATTATGTAAGACGTGACTTTAAAATACCACTTAAAGGGAAATAACTTTTATAAATATACAAAACTTCCGAGTTAGAATAAGGATAATATAAAACTTACAGGTTCTGGACTTAATCCACCGCTACCATACATCTCTGAACAGTAAACCTGTTGCACGAACTGACGCAAATCAGCCTATCATCATATGTTATCATTTACAAAGTCACGTGACACACCACTGACGTCAAAGACGCCTTTTGTTGGTTCCCACAACAAGTATACTGTTAACTCCCCTTCAGATGGTTTACGCAATTGACTAGGGGGGGCTTTCAAACTAATTATAAACTATCATGTTCTAAACTAGGCATTTTAAACACTAAACATAACCTTATAAGTAATATCAGGTGAAAAATTAAATACGTGTTAATCGTTATTAGATTCCGATCAAAGGAAACTACCTAAATAGATCAGAACAAACAATTAACCCATTCATGAATATAATTAACATACTGGTCTAGCTTATAGTTAGAATACTTTGATATGGTGTCTCAACTTTTAATACAAGGTTTATCTTTAACGTAAAGCACAAACAACATCACACTCGAAAAACTACTGTTGTGCGTGTACAAGTTTTAATGTTAGACCAACAGTTTTAACCCTAACGACAAATACTGCATCACACCTGAGAAACTATTTTTTTTTTTAGTATACAAGTTCTAATGCTGGTGTAACTAGACTAACAATTTTATTCTAAACGAAAAGCTCTGTATTATACCAAAAATAACGACTTAAACGTAGAGACTTCTTGTTTATTTCGTATTAGTTTATTCAGGAAATGGTCAACATTTCTGGCTTTTAGTCGGAACATTCGTTATAATGGAATTTCTCGAGAGTCAACATTTCTATCGCGGAAAGCGTGAAACATCATGATCGGACATTAAAACTGGCTGGGTGAAGTTTAGTATGGTTTGCTTAGTCACAACCATAGACTATTATATCTTTCCTCGGTCATGACCTAGCATGACAAAGATTATTGGTCATACTGATCACAAGCATTCCTTTCAACATCCTTGAACGCCAATCAGTAAGAAGAACGTAATTTTGTCATTTAGATTTCTTAATCATGCGCATGTCGGGTCAGTTTGTTTGTTTCACGCAAGAGCTAGCAGTCTCCTCATTTTGAACTGATAGACTAGCGGAAAGTCAACAGTATCTACCAACAATTCCCACACCACTCTTTCCTGAGGGATTTTACCGTCTTTCTTGTAATGCACCTACAGCGACGAAGTAAGGAGCTCGTTTTTGAGACAACGGGACGTGAACCGTGTACCTTAATTTTCACAGTCCGGGCATGCTAACTTCTATCCTAACCAGATCAGTAACTTTTAGGAGGTAAATTACACCGCTGGAC